TGGCCGTCTGCCCCTGGACAAGTCTGGTAAACCAGTGGTTCCCAAAGTGGGGGTCCCGACCCCCCGGGGGGTCGCGGGAACCCCTGGGGGGGTCGCAAGATGATTTCCAAACAACAACAAAAAAAAAGAAAAAAAAAAAAAAAAAAAATTGAGCAAATTAATAGCCCTTAAATATTTATTTTGCATTTGATTTGATTCAAAAGGGTTACTTGTTAAATTGTGTTAGGAGAAAATAATATATTTTAATTACGTTAATTACGTTGTCCCAGTCATTGACAGCGTCAATCAAAATTAAGTTACGCAGCTCACATCATGCAGCGACAAAGCGTGTCCTGCTGCTGTTTGCTAAAACTAAAGGTGTTTGGAGGCTACAAACACATAATACCTGCTTTAAAATGAAACGTGGTTAATATCCACAACAGAAAAACCTGGAGGGGGAGAACAGTCAAGGGTCAGGCTGATGGTGCGAAGAGAGGGAGAGAGGGCAGCGGAGGGAGAGAGGGCAGTGGAGGGAGAGATGGCAGGGGTAGAACAGCGCGGTAAAGAGGCCCGGCTTTTCGGAGTCAGTGGTAAAGAGGTCCGCACATTAAAAGCGGGTGGCCGGTTTATGCCTTTACTGACAGTAACTTTGGAAAAAGAAGCCGCGGGGATGAAGCGCATAAAGTAACAGCAGAAAGCGGCCGCCCGCTTTTAATGTGCGGACCTCTTTACCGCTGGGTTAGGGTTAGGACCACTTTACCGCGATACAAGAACAGAGAGGGCGAGCCGCAAGAAATGCGCTCCACCTCTGCTAAGAAGGGAGCCCACCAAGCCCATCACTGTGTCACTACAAGAGTAAAAATACGCAAGCCTCCTTTTTTGGGCTGGACAGTGCAGCTCAGTAGTGGCGCGAGTCTCTGCGTTACTCCGTATTAGAGTTTCGTTCGGGCCTGAAAAATCAAGCCCGACCCGGCCCGAGCCCGCTAATACTAAGCCCGAGCCCGTATAAGCCCGACCAATTAAGGTTGTATAATAGGCCCGAGCCCAACAGAAGCCCGACACATCTGATTTCCCTTCTTGTACGCACTCACCTTCCAATTGCAAGTTTAGCCACTTCTGAATGTGTTTTGTACGTCCACCTGATCCATTTCTGTTATGTTCCGTGTGTTCGCTGTTGACCGTAGCATTCAACAGGAAAAACAGGGATGATGCGTTCACGGCTTGCTGCGGCTGTAGGACACGCCGGTTACGGTGATAAATATATCAACTTTTTTAATAACTTGTTGTCAATCAACGGACATTATTATTAATAAATACCTATATGCATATCATTATGTATGAAAATCATAAATAATAAAAAATATTGATTAAAAAAAATAAAAAAAGGAAAAATAAAAAGGAGCCCGAGCCCGGAACGGCCCGACTGCTGAGCGCTGAAGTGAGGCCCAAGCCCGGCCCGTACTCGGGTCGGGCTCGGGCCTGCTCGGGCTCGGGCTGAAAAGCGAAACTCTACTCCGTATCAAGGAAGTACATGCTCATTGACGGGAAGGACTGTTGAGGTGGGGGGTCGCGGGGGAGCAGCGCATTTATGATGGGGGTCGCGGGCTAAAAACTTTGGGAACCCCTGTGGTAAACTATAGTCCTCTTACTAACAAATGTGGGCTCTATTTGAACCAGTGGTTTTTTTACATGCTGTTATGTGCTTCAAGTCTAAATGAAATGTAGTCAATCGTTGACTAGCAACAGTTGAGAAATGACAGCTAATAGCATTGGTTTGCTGTAAATTCCTAACGCACTCACAACACTAGAAAAACCTATAAAACAGTTAATCATTGAATCCAGCAGACCGTATAATGCTGGTCTAGGCTGCTCCACAGTTGTACTCCGGTGGCCATGTTTTGATTCTAGCCATGCATACTTTAATCACAGTCTTCTCTCTCAGACCATTGGCTTGGATCCTCTCCACCCAAACACCACTCCAGAGATATGTTAGCAGCGTAGTTCTTCAAAGCCATGGTTATATTGTGATTGGGTACACCTGACAAGAGCTTATAGCCACATTACGGCACAAGAGCCCCCTGGTGTGTGCTTGCTGAACCTGAGAGTGTGTATATATGCTGTCTTATTAAATTATTGGTGTGGCTTTTACAGCCCGCACCACACCCCCGCCCTTTTCTTTCCATCTCTGTCCAAGGCTAAACATTTGTCTTTCCATTCATGGGTGAATTTGTATTCCGTTGAGATGGGTTACTGGCTGTGTAGAGGGGGGAATGGGTGCAAAGTCCGCAGCCAGGTGAGCTGTGTTTCCATTTTCTGCTTTTTAACAGCTCTCAGAGGACATGGGGGAGGGATGAATAAACTAGTCTCAATAATATATCCAACAAATGCTGTCAAACATTTAAATGTAATTTTTTATTAGACTAAAGCTAATACTGCACTCATATTAATATGACATGGCTGTGCGAATAGAGTCGATTAGTTAATTTTACTAAACATACAATGACATTTATTTCTGTTATTCCATGAACCTATTATTCCTCATTAAATTGATTACCCCATGAATCATTATGAAATTAACCTTAATCCCATTGGCTAAGGTCGGTGTCATTGCTGCTGATTGGTCAGGTATTTATTCTGCAACACTCCATTAGGATGACACTGCCACTCCAATTACAAGGTGGGCCAATCGGTCCTTATCAAATTTACAGCTAAGCAACTATAATCAATGGCTGTATTTACATAAAGAATAGAGAAGAAATTGTTGTAGTAGAGTGAAAGCATCAGATTAAATGGTTTGAGTTTTGCTGTATTTTTTCCTAAAACACTTTTCACTAGTGTTTTATATATATATATATATATATGTCAACTATTTACATAGTTGACAAATATATCTTTAATGGAAACACTTCAGGAAACACAGCTGTACCCACAAGCAATAGTCTAAATATAAAATTTGTATCTGAATTCTACCCAACACTGATCATACATTATCATATGATTATCATATGATACATTATTTCAAGTTACGTTTAGACTGTATGGTAAAGTAAAGAGTTTTGTTTTCATTTGATTGATTCTTGACGGTTTAACTTAACAGCAATTTCAAAATAATTTCCATTTCTAGAAGGTTCTTCTGTAGATTTGCACTTCAGAGTATCCAGACCGCATACTTACGACAATAAAAAAAACAACAACAACAATGACAAAAAAAAAAAAAAACTAAGAAAAACTAACAGCCTCCTGTCACTTCTGGTCAAAGAAATTTCCCACATGAACATAAAAGCATAAAGCTATCTGCTTTAAGTCCAGCCTGCTCACCAGCAGACAACCATTACATTCCTACAGAATCATTCATTTGATTATTATTTCTATTATTAACATAAATAATTGCTGCAGAAAAAATATTGGCAGTCCTCAAATAAGATACGATAAAACTTGATCTCACAGGGGAGAAATTAACAACCTTGCAGAAACGATATATCTCCTTTAATATTTGAATTATATAAAAGCACGAGTGCAATGATTGACAGCCCTTGGCATCACGTGATTGGTTAAAGTCGAAGGCATCAGGGATTTTGCGCCATAGCTAAGACTAGGGAAGGCACCACTTACCTGTAATATTATAACTCATAAAAATGACTTATTTTATATCAAGATGTATGCCCAGGAGGTCAAATTAATACAATTCTCAAAATGTGTTATTTATTTTTTCTTGCAGACTATCACTTTCATGTGAATGTGAATTTAAGTGAAATTATCTTTTTATGTAACATTTCATATTGCAGATTTTCAAATCCTCAAGGGTGCAGTCTGCTTAAGAGCCGGCATTTCCACTTGTCTTGAAGGGGAGTGCCTTTCTACAATCAAATAAATTAAATGAAAACCATTCAGGATGTTTGTGAGTGGAGTGGTTATCTCTCATCTCTCTGTGGATGCGAGAGCGTGTAGTGAGCCACAAAGGCATTAAAAGCATCCAATTGGACTAACGATTTCAGGCACTGGGGGAATGCTCTGACGATACCAGTAATTGAGCCAGTGATAGTCTTGGCAACTCTGATAAAGGCATGCTAATGGTCTGCTGTGAATTATCTGGATCAGTGACAAAAGCCTCCACATGACCACTTATTTTGACTACACTCACATAGCATTTGAAAAGAGCAAATATAACTGTTTGTTGCCATCTCAATTGCAGCTCAAAATGGACAGATGTCAAAAGTCAGACAGCGTGGCGATATATCTGCCCTCCTTTTTGTACAGATAGATTTGCACATTTCCGTGCTTGATCTGGTGTGTCACCTCATCGGGCAGATTGCTTTCTCTTCCAGACGTAAGACAGTCCTAGCTGACGAAACAAAACACTGGCAGAGGGAGGACGTGGCTTCCAAAGCAAACAATCAGAGGTGATTTCTAAAGATGATCACACGAGACAGTGAGAAGGAAGAGTGTTCTTACAAAGACTCACACAGCGCTGCCGATACTTTGCCCCAGAGTGACCCATTATAAATGCAAATACAAACATAGCTGGAGACTCACTTGTGCGCAGGCAGGTGAGAGCTGGTGAGAGGCGGTACTACTTTTGTGAGACGCCAACTATTATGAGACAACAAAGACTGACTTCCCAAGATGTGCAATGTGGCTCAGACAAGCAACAAAAGTTTTCTGGAGTAAAAAGTAGACATTTCTTTTGAATAAACATATTTGATATACATTTCTCAACCATAACAGAGCTCTTCGCACAACTGTTTTTAATTGTGGTCTTTTACTAGTATATTATCCTTGCCCTGATAAGTGCAATATTATGGCATATTTGAGTGTTGATGATGCGCAGTCAAGCAGGCAATATGTTGAGACATATTCCCTGAGGGGACAATAAAGCTGAACCTTGAACCAACCAGACCACAATACAAACTGAAACACTCAAAAATCTTTAATGTCAAACTCACTTTTATACTCAATATTGATCATGCTAATTAACAGGAGACACACAGAAAAATAATACATCAGTTTGTGGTCAGACTTACCCCACTGAAGAGGGGCCAGCTGCAGGTGCTCCAGGACCAGCTGGTTGAGGACCCCCTCCACACTAGCCTCTCCTCGTCGCTGCAGAGAAGGGTGCTCTTTGTTAAGGACAACAGCAACAAAACAAGGAATGTCACAATTGCCAGTATAGCGGTAGCAATGCTGATTATAACTTTTAGCGTCTTAATAAAAAAGAAAAAAAAAGATAATATCTTGTAGATTACCGCGCCCGCAATGTACGGGATCTGAGTCTGCTTAAGTAGCCATGCGCACGCTGAATACAACCTCAGGTTCAAAGTGTGGGCATATTTTGGATTACCAAAGAATGCCGAGGGACGTCTGATAGAAGACAGCTATTCTGTCTGCAGAACTTTTTTCCGCTAAGTTTCCGCTAAAGGCAGCAATACTTTAAACCCATAAATCCATGTTAAAGCTCTTGACACATCTGCGTGAGCATGACCCACAACTCTATAGCCAATGCTAGCGAAGATAACGTTAATGTTTAGCTGAAATAAATGATGCGGGAGGACTTTGCTTTGAGATAGAATGCAACGATTTGTCTGGTTATCCGTATGTCAATAGCCTGGCCTTAGCCATCCGTGCACTCCATTCAATCATAATTTCACTGCATGTAACGTCTGGGTCTGGTCCCTGTGTTTGCGATTACAATCGGTTGAATTTCGACCGACCATTCAGAGAGCGCGGAAGGCAGGTGTTGTAGTTACAGTAGTTGCGGGTGATGTCAAGAGTTTGCCTTGAACGGGAAGGTTGTGGTTTGGCAATGGCGAAAAATGAGATAGTAAAGTAATCCGGTCTGGTTCTATCAAGTAATTGAAGCCGGAGCAAGGGTAATGTTTAGCAAATGTAATCGCTGGAAAAAAAATTGGTGCTACTCCCCACGGGCTCTGTTAGTGGCAAAGGAGATGACTAGGCTAAATTCTAAATGCTAACAACAGACTCACAGGGCGCACTACATACGTCACGGTAAACTCAGAGCCAATCGTTTCAATCTGCAAAAGGAGTTAACCCCTCCCACCTGTAAACGGAGCTCAATGGAACACCTCCAGACCTTAGTACAAAATGTAATTTGTACTTTGGTGTGGTATGACCGGCTAGTATGTCAATAATGTAAACGTAAAAGTGCAGCGCCCACCGCCAGCAAATAAAAAATGCATCTAGCTGCCTGTTAGCAGCTAATTCTTGGGTTTCATTAAACTGGCCAGTAGGGGGTGAATGAGCAGAGGTGGGACAACTCAGTTTTGCACCCATTGAAAACTATGTAAATCGTGTCTGTTTTGGAGTCAAAAGGCCCTCATCCTGTGCGGTGTACGGTTGTTGTAACAGTCTTAATCGGGAGGGGGACACTAAATTCTAAGGGAGTACTAAATAATATTTATCAAAAGAGTCTTGATTTCGGGCATTTTTGGAAGAAAAAAACACAAGAAATTGCTGCGTTTCATTTGGGTGGCCTGCAGGGGGGGCTTATCTGGGAAAGCCTTGATCCACCTCGCCTGCCTCATTCGAGTGATTTTTTCAAAGTGTACTACTTTATATGAGAAGACTGATCAGAGATGCAGCCAAGAGGCTCATGATCACTCTGGATGAACTGCAGATAACTACAGCTGAGGTGGGGATGGTGTGTTCAGGGTGAAGAGCTGTGTTGCTTTTACGGCAAACATATCGTTATGCATTGTGGCCAAAAAGTTCGATTTTGGTTTCATCTGACAAGAGCACCTTCTTCCACATGTTTGGTGTGTCTCCCAGGTGGCTTGTGGCAAACTTTAAACGAGACTTTTTATGGATATCTTTGAGAAATGGCTTTCTTCTTGCCACTCTTCCATAAAGGCCAGATTTGTGCAGTGCACAACTGATTGTTGTCCTATGGACAGACTCTCCCACCTCAGCTGTAGTTATCTGCAGTTCATCCAGAGTGATCATGGGCCTCTTGGCTGCATCTCTGATCAGTCTTCTCCTTGTTTGAGATGAAAGTTTGGAGGGACGGCCGGGTCTTGGTAGATTTGCAGTGGTCTGATACTCCTTCCATTCCAATATAATTGCTTGCACAGTGCTCCTTGAGATGTTTAACGCTTGGGAAATCTTTTTGTATCCAAATCCGGCTTTAAACTTCTCCACAACAGTATCTCGGACCTGCCTGGTGTGTTCCTTTGTCTTCATGGTTCTCTCTGCGCTTTAAACAGAACCCTGAGACTATCAAAGAGCAGGTGCATTTATACGGAGACTTGATTACACACAGGTGCATTCTATTTATCATCATCAGTCATTTAGGACAACATTGGATCATTCAAAGATCCTCACTGAACTTCTGGAGTGAGTTTGCTGCACTGAAAGTAAAGGGGCCGAATAATATTGCACGCCCCACTTTTCAGTTTTTTATTTGTTAAAAAAGTTTAAATTATCCAATACATTTTGTTCCATTTCACGATTGTGTCCCACTTGTTGTTGATTCATGACAAAAAATTAAAATTTTATATCTTTATGTTTGAAGCCTGAAATGTGGCAAAATGTTGAAAGGTTCAAGGGGGCCGAATACTTTCGCAAGGCACTGTGTACCCGGCAGACTGCACCGCCAGGGTACGTCATGTCCTGTCCTACGTTTGTTATTTGCGCCACTGCCCTGACGTCATATGAAACCCAAGAATATGCTAAGCTAAACATGTTAACAGTAATAGAAGAGGCGGTGAAATAAAGACACAGCATTATTGACACAACAATACCATGCACTTCGTGTACATCATTTTAGTTGACATTTACTATATAATTAAGTCGATGTCAACCAAATGTTATTTGCAGTTAACATTTGATATTTGTCAAACTATTTCAGTTTGTGTAGGTCTATCGGTGCTTTCTGAACATATTAACTGAACTTTAAAAAAAAGATACAGCAAAAATATAATATAATTTAGGTCACAATGACCGTGAGGTTAAACATTTTCATACCGTGAAACACCGAAACAACACATGGATATGTGCCTTTACAGTGTGACAACAAAAATAAATAACATTTGCAGAAAAACATATTGAGATAAATTGATTTTAAAAACAAATTACATTATAATATACAGTACATTTTACAACAAAGCAATGCAAAACTATTTGTTGATGGGATTTATGTTTTTTTTTTTTTTTTTTTTTTAAACTGATGTATTTTATTTGTTTATTCAATATGTTGACAAAGGGGCTTAACTGCATAGCCCCTAATAACTGTACATGACCCACCCCTATGGTTGCTGTCCCAATAAATGGCCAATATAATAATTACAGTTGTCATGAATAGATAAGATAACAATCCACTTTTGGGGAGACAACATGATAATCAAAACATCAGCCAGCAACTTGATATAACGTTAGAAGGCTCAATCCCTCCCGTGCATCAGGCAATGTAAAATGTATCCTTGTATCTGAAGCAACTCTAACATAGTCTGAGTTTCAAAACGTTCTTTTAAGAGCTGGAAATACACTCAATGCTGAATTATTAGTCTCTGTTGCTGCCCACACCCTGCCGAATGGCTTGTATATAAGACAATGCACCATGCTTTTGCGTTTGTGAAGATGGACAGCCTTAAAAGCACTTAGATTAATAATTGTTGTGTATACTTGGCTCAACACCAGATTTCACATAATGGCTCTATGAAACAAATGCTGAGAGTAATTGTTTAAATTCTACACAAATAAACATGAATGGGTCAAGAAGCTTTTTGACCATGTCCTTGATGGTCATATTTCTGTCACAGGGACAGGAAGTGAAAGGATATGATGGTCCAGCAGATGGCCAGCTTCCTGTTGATCTGACAGCCGCGGGCATGCTGGCGCTCCTCCTCCATGTGTCTGAGGTTAGCAAAGTGTGCTGGCTCCTTCTCTGGCTCGGGCACATTCTCAAAGTCAAATTTATCCACCTGAATGGCCATTCTGTCAAATACAATAGGAAATCATGTTAAACAGATGTTGCCACTGCTCTACAGATGGAAGAGGCAAAAATCAAAACCAGGGCTCAGGACAAAACATTTTGAATGTTTGCAATGATGCGCCAAACTCATTTATTCAGGTGCATGAGCACTGCATTTAGGTGCACTTTCATTGTTAGGACATGATGTGAGCGTTCAGAAGTCATAAGGACAATAAACTTGAAATTTGAAGAAAACACAAAGCCATCCTGCTGAATAATAATATTGGACCCATCCTGATGCCACTAAGGCTTACGTCAGGAGCAGTGGTTGCCGTAGTACAGATCCCGGGGACCCATCTCCAGATGTTAATACTCAACTTGGTCAGGGCTACCAGAGCTGGAGGATTTTACGTACCTATTGTGCATGTTTTTAGTGGCACCTGGCGGAAACCGACGCAGACACGGGGAGAACATGAAAACTTCCAACCAGGATTCGAACCCAGGACCTTCTTTCTGAGAGGCGAGAGTGCTATCCACTCAGCCACCGTGCCGCCTATCTGAATCTATAACGGCTACCTACCATTGATGAAAGAAAAGACACAGCGAACAGTTTACAGAGTGCCATCAATTCATAGCCCCATGCAACCTTATGGGAGGTCTGCTGTCATACTTGTGTTACACATTGTATAGTAAATGGAATTACAACACAAAACCACCTCCTGCTGAGTCCACAGACACACAGGCATCAAAGAACAGAAAGCAATGCAATTATCATCTCACAGCCCTCAGAACAAAGACACAGACAAATTAAATAATAATGAAGACTTCAAACTGGGGACAAGAAAGAGCCGTTTCTGCTGTGCCATACTCAAATCCATGCCTCTTTGAAGATTAAGGATTCCAGGCTGGTGTCACCTGCTGCAGATGGAAATGGTTTACGTTCAAGACGTCTTCAAAAGCGCACATTACACATCACCACTAAAAACACAACATACAATAGTGCAACAATTTCCTAAATGAATCAGTCTGGATTTTATAACTGGACAGGTTATTTACGGAGATGTTCCACAAAACCGGGGGACAGAAGCAGGATATTGGATAATTATTCATTATTTTTTATGTATTTCTAATGTACAATTCTAATAATGCAAATTAGACTGTAAATTTTCGTTAATTTGGAGTTGAAAATATTTTGGTATAATTTTTGAGAATATCTTGTCTGATGTGTGTGACACTATCTTGCTAATTACAGGCATGCTGTGATTGTAGCCGTAGAGTCTTAATGGCAGTAATGGCACAGCTTTGGATGAGCCGGTCACAGCCAAATGACCCCTGTCTAATTAAATGCCACATTGCCGAGGACCAAACTTACATGATGATCACATTAAAGCATACAGGGTCACTTTCATGTGACCACTGCAGAGACTAGGATCATCAAATAGTGTCCACTTTGAGACCTGATCCTTGCGCTTTCAACAGTTTTCAGAACAGATCAAGATCTTTTCATACAAGTATTGATTTTGTATTAGAGAGCTATAAAACGAGTCCAGCTTTTTGACCATTGTGTTGAACCTTATGTTTGAGTAGTTTTTCCAGGTATTGATGAGAAAATAATAACATAGAATTTCAAGAGGACCTGAAAGATTTAATAACAAAAGTGTCATATAACCAAGTCAGGTGGAGTAAAAAGAATATTGAGCAAGTAAACGTGTGTGAGTTTACAGAAAAAATGCTATTTTTAGCTCACGTGCAGCGGCTTAGGCGGAGATTCAGCGTGGCTCGTGCAGAGGCAGAGAGAGCAACAGTCTATTTTTAGACTGCGCAAGACTTGCTGTAACCCTTTGAATACAGCCGCTGCAGCCATCCCTCCTGAATCCTCAGCTCATTCCAAAGAGAGCCGAGGAAAACAACCACAAAGCCAATTACTCTGTATGCAGAAGGAGTCCTGTCATCACTGATGCTTGCATGCTTGCTTACAAAGTTATTTTTCTCTTCTCTTAAAATGCAAGATTATTGAAGGTGGAATGTGCCATTGCTAGAGAGCACTGGAGGAAAGGTATGACAACAATATTTAAGAAACAATTGAATCTTATAACTACATGATCTTTAGTTGAGGTGCAATTGATTAATAACATGTGTACACAATATTCCAAATTACTCAATATTCTTGCACCAGAGCGGATAGATGCATCTATAGGTTTAAACTTTGGTTCTTGAACAAAATATTCAGATTTAACTTAATTTTATTACTTATACTTTATACATTTATACCTGTTCGACTTTTAGGCTTATTAAGCTAAATATATAGATTTTTATTTTAAATATAGAGTTTTGCAATACTCTTGTATTCACTTGTCCGAATGGGCTCCTCATGTTACTGTTCTGTAACCTGTGATGAAAGAATTTTCTCACTGTGGAACAAATAAAGGATCTCTTAATGTTGCTATATTGACATGTACTGTAAACTCGGGAAGGAAAATTGTTGATGGTATGTCCACCAACTCATCTAGCTCAACAGCAGAGCTAAAACGCCCTCTAGGGAGGCAACTGTGAAAACATGTTCCGTGGCAACCTCACTCTTGCCACGGAAAAGTGCAATGCACAATCCAACAGGGAACACACAACAGATATACATGTCAGCAGTCACATCTATTCTGTAGCAAAGGCAAAGCACTCATAGGCAATGTCCCTTTAGGGTCACAGCCTTTTCAGATATTGAAGAATTTCACATAATTAGAGAAATCACAATCTGATTATGATGCAGTTAAATCAAGACAATGCTTTTCAGAATGCTAAACTGGCTGAAGTTATACTATGCGCTCAGCTGAAATAAAAGCTAGCTCAAAAAGGGGAAAGGTGGTCACCATGGAAACAAGTGTTTCAAAAGCTCATGCAATGAGGCATGTCTCCCCTTGTGCACAGGGAGAGGCATAGCGAATCAAGAGATACAGTCTCGGATGCCAACACCGGGGCCTGCAGAGAATACCAGGGACAGCGGTGAGGATAGTTAATACCCATGGAAGCTGAATCTGTAAGGGCTGTTCCCTGAATCCTGCTCCTTATTCCACAGACATGAGCAGTGAAAGTGTGAGAGGGGATGGATACTGTAAATAATTTATCTCCCTCCTTACTCTGTCTCTCTCTTACCCTAGTTCTAGTTTAGGACTGCAATTAAAATAAGGTTTTTTTTGTTGTATTTCACATAATATATTCACAAATGTATAATGTACTATCATTACATTTGTAATAAACAACTTCTCCCCCTTTTGGTCTAGTTCTACAGCCGACAGTGCAACAAGTGCAGTGCGAGCCAGCTCCACAATTCCAAAACCTTTAAAGACTGACGCTCGCAACACATACTGCTAGATTTTCATTTCAGGGATAAGTAAGTAAGTAAGTAAGTAAGTAAGTAAGCTTTATTTATATAGCGCCTTTCACAGACCAGAGTCACAAAGCGGTTTACAATTGTTATTTTTGGGCACTTGTCCTCTCACTCCACACAGAGATGGGAGCGGGGTCGCCGAACAGGAGGCGCATGCCAGAACTATTGTACATATTTTTAGTGGTAGGGGAAACCGGAGTACCCGGAGGAAACCTACGCAGACACGGGGAGAACATGTAAACTCCACTCAGAAAGGCCCTGGTCCGGCCGGGATTCGAACCCAGGACATTCTTGCTGAGAGGCGAGAGTGCTATCCACTCAGCCACCGTGCCGCCCACAAATACTGATGCATGCAGTGTAAAATTAAAATAAATTGTACAAATTATATACCTGATGATTTATTGTTATTGTTCTTTCTTTAAACAAAAGAAAAAGTCTTGAGAAAGTACTCCTTTGGGAACGGAGAGCTCTTCAAAACATCCAAAGTGGCCTCTGCCTTAATGGGGTGATGAAGACTTTGCAAAAGATATGGAGATAGAAGATGAAAGCAGCTCCTGTGGATCACTCAGGCAGTATCTGTCCACTCACTAAACACTCAACTCAAATTCAAACTCAAACTCAATTCAAATCTGTGAGGCTTCCCGATGATACATTAAGCCAGCTTCAGTCATACACATGCAAAATAACACAGTCAGGGCGGAGAGTGATATGCTTATTGATTGACATCACAAGGCAAAGGGGCCTAATATGCCAGTATCAATCAATCTCTCACAAAGGTAGCTACATAGCAACTGGTTATTTTAGGCCATTATTTTTATTTCATTTCAGACCCAGGAATAACTTCTCCTTTTACAGGATTTACTTGAATTTCCAGTTTCTGCTGTATTTTCTTCATATTTAAATGGTAATTGTTAGTGGGGAGCCCACAGATATATGTTTTTATTGATTAGGCTGCAGGGCTTTATACTTGCGTTATGGAAGTTTGTTTGACCATCAAGAAAAAAAAGTGATATATTCACTTTATGAAGCCGTTTCAAATATATTCTTAAAATAATTGTTAAAATGATTAAGACACAGACTAAAGCCTGGTTCACACGGCAGGATATTTAGGCCGATTTAGACCCGATTTACCCCTTACGACAATTTTAAGAAACGCTCCGATTTCCATAACAAAATCTTACAGATTATCCTGTCGTGTGTGGTGTGTTAAGACTGCACTCGTCGCTCGGAAGGACATAGGGACTGCTCCCGATCTCAAATCGGGGATATCCAACATGTTGGATTGTTTTGGCCCGATTTCTTGTCGTGTGTGGTGTCCTCCGAGGACAAGCGAGCGTGTTGCCATGACTACGGCGTGTAGCCAATAAGAAGACGAGGTGACAAGCCGGTGAGGAAACACCGGAAAAAAACCAAAACACAGCAGCATGGCTTTGACCATTGCCTTTTCTTTGGATTACGTGTCTTCTCTGTTAACAACAAACTGCACACTATCGCCACTGCATCCTCTTCGTCCGCCATGACTGTTTACTCTGAAGTCACGCTTGATCTCGAGAGATTTTGTGAGATTTCCGTCTGACCTGGGAATGCTCGGGGGGGGTGTCGGTTCGTGTGTGATGTTTGTGGCTTGCGTGATCTTGCCGTGTGGCTACGCACCACACACTGCACGACCAAAGTGGTTAGACGCAGGATTTTTAATCTCCCCGTGTGGGGTCTAACACGGAGAAAAATCGGCCGACAATTTTAAAATCGTCTCGTGTGAACCAGGCTTAAGAGAGAGAGATCAGCAATAATCAACATCACACACCACTCAGACGGAGCCGTCAGGCCTTTGGGCTTGGGCATGCACATGTGTGTGCATACTTTTGATTGTTTTACTTATTGTTAGTGATTGTGTGAAGCCAATTATTTTCAAATGCTTTTTCATTATTATAATAAATATTCATATGGCTTCACACAACCACCAAGAAAGTGTTTGTGTTATCATGATTGATCTCCAGAGTATGGACAAATCAATTACATTACTGTGATAACATTGTGTGGTCCCTGTGTGGCCACATGTCAGTAGACTTGCCACCTTGTGCCAAGATCAATTGTTCTATTATTGCTAGCATGTTTTAAAATCCAACACACAATAAAAATACATCAACTGCTTGCCAGCAAATATTAGTTTATAACGTGTTCACGTGATGAAGTCATATGTAAAGGCCCAATAGCAGGCTATATCTGAGGGGAATGTCAGTCCGAGACATTTGTCTATATACAGTGCATGTGTGCGGCATCGCCAGGCTATGACACTTTAGGGCTCACAGGCACACTGTGTCACATTCACTTGTCTCGCATTTCAGCATGCTTTCTGACATCAGTTACAGAAGTGACATGTGAGATTTTCTGACCTTTGTTTGAGAGTTATATTTCATTAACTTATAGTAATAAAAAGCAGGGGACTGTTGAGTATTGCATTATGTAGGGGTGTATTGATTCCAAAATATCCTAGTTGGTTTAGCTCTTGATACACAATGTATACTATGTGTAAAACAATGAACATTTTCTGTTCATTTTTTTTATTTTTTTTATTTATTTACCATCTCAAGGGTTCTCACAAGTCCCCAGGCCTTTTAAAGGACATATCAGTGTAGATATGTGCATTGATTGTCATTTCAGTCAGTTTCAGTCAGAACTGTCAAGATGTTCTGATGGAAATGCATAACAAACGTTTTCTTGTTAAATGTCTCTCACAGCGCACCATCACTGCTGAGGTGGGACCTTTAGGAGCCAGGACCCGTAACCACTGGCTGGTACATAGTGATTAGGAATTTGTTACGAGATATTGAAATTTGTGGAACAAAAATACGTGCAATATGGCCTTGATCTGGCAATAGCACAATGGTCAAATGAAGGCCATTGCTGGTGCTGACTACAGCCCAAAAACCATCAGTCACATCTAAAGCAGAGCATCAGTCAAATCTAGGAAGGTTTAAATTTGATGGTTCGGATGGTTTCCAACATCCCAGGCAACAGGCAGATCCCCCCCCACAGTGGAACAGATCATATAATGATATCATTGGGCCTCATTCACCAATATCTTCTTAAGAATCTTCTTAAATATCTACTTAAAGGAGCTATATCCGTTTCAACAAGGTTTTTTAAGTTCGAATGTTTTTGCGATCTGATACGTATGCTAACGTTAGCATTAGCGCAACTTCTCGTAAGCTGTACAATCACTGATGAAATGGTACAAAAGCAACGCACTGCTAACAAAATATATACTGTAACTGAAAGGTTACCGTTAGTTTTTCGTCCAAATGTAGTCCGAGCATAGATAGACCAAGTTGGTCCTGCTCCCGCAGGTCTCTCCACGCAGGATATGATTTAAGGCCAAGCTTAAAACACTCTTTTTCAACTTAGCATTTAGTTAGGTTGTTTGTCCGGTCAGGTTTCGTCCGGTCTTGGAGTCTACGTATATGGGACCCGGTCCGCTGCATCTTCAACCCTACGTTCTAGGCTAGGCTAAAACAGTCCTCTTTAGTTAGCATATGGCTAGGAAGGTAAGACTCAGGGAAGGCTAAACTCCTTAGACTGTCAGTCAAGCTGCATAGGGAGTCAGTTTGCTGGCAGAAGTATGGTAACCTGAGCACTATCCTCTCCTCCTTCCTACTTTATCTGTTTAGCATTATTAGGATTTTGACTGTAGTTTGTTCATTGCTATTCACCCATTGTCCCATTATCTGTTTCATGGTACGAAGACGGGACCTCTGAACCTGGCCTCCTCCATCTACACCTGCGGACTGCCCTGCCCGTCCTGTTCTTATGTTTTCTTATGAGTTTTTCCTTGCCGATGCAGGAGGGTCTGTGGTGATGATCCAGGACACTTTAACATTCTACAACATGTATGGACATTTATCAACATGTGTTCTATATTGTTTATGTGTTTTAATTGCTGATTCTCTGATCTGTGTTGGTGATTTCAATGGTTTTGTTAAGTCCTCTGAGATGACTTGGGTTGTTATTTAGGGCTATACAAGAATAAATTGTATTGTATGATGTAAGCTAACACTACGTATGTTCCCCAGGGCTTGATTTCTTTTTTGGAAAATATTTTTGATTTAGTTCCCTCTTCTCCTCCTCACTGTTGCGTCGTTTGAGCCGTTTTGCTGTGTCTGCAGTTCTAGCCAGAGGGAGTATAACCACTTTCTGCCTCCATGCTGTTGTGTTTACATGCACTGGGCGGCACGGTGGCTGAGTGGATAGCACTCTCGCCTCTCAGCAAGAAGGTCCTGGGTTCGAATCCCGGTCGGACCAGGGCCTTTCTGAGTGGAGTTTGCATGTTCTCCCCGTGTCTGCGTAGGTTTCCTCCGGGTACTCCAGTTTCCCCTACCACTAAAAATATGTCCAATAGGTCTGGCATGCGCCTCCTGTACTGGCCCCGCTCCCATCTCTGTGTGGAGTGAGAGACAAATGCCCAAAAATTAACAATTGTAAACCGCTTTGAGACTCAGATCTGCAGTGAAAAGGCGGTATATAAATAAAGATTACTACTACTACTACTACTACTGCAGACGCTAGAGGAGGCAGCCGGTTCGTGACAGTGCCGCTCCTCGTTCTGTGATTAGAGGAAAGCTAGCATCATGCTAAGTTTCTACGACCTCAATTCATACACAAGCTAAATCAATGAGCTCAAGTTTTTAATTAAACTATGGATTTTAATACAACATGTTTATAGTAATACGCATTTTTATGAACTCATTAGAAAATAAATCAGGTATAGCTTTTTTAAGTCGTTCTTAAGAAGATTTCTGAGAAGACCCTATGTGGTATCATCAATTGATGAATACCATCTCTTCGTAAGTAGAGCGCGCGTGCCAGGTGAGTCATTAGCATAGGTACTTAGCATAGGAAACCGGCCCATTAATGCCTATAAAAAGGGACTGCAGGGCCGTGTCCAGACGCCAGAGGAAACAACAACATGCAAATAGCAAAAAGTTACAAGAGCAAAAGAGTCCTTTTTATTCTTTTGCCAGACTGAGATTAAAGTCATAATATTTTTACTTTAATGTTGAAATATTATGAGAATAAAGTTGAACTAGCAAAATTATGAGATTAATCAAAAAACATTATGAGATTAATCTAAATATATTATAAAATGTATCTCAAAATGTATTGGACCCTATTTTGGACCCTGGGAGGAGATCCAGCCCAGACCAGCAGTGAGACCAATGCAGACCCGAGAATAAACCATAGACTGGAGAGACCAGCGGGGGCCCGAGGAATCACCGTAGAATGGAGAGACCAGCGCGGACCCGAGGAGAGACCGTAGACTGGAGAAACTATAGAATGGAGAGACCAGCACAAACACGAGGAGAGAATAGATCCATGGGAGAGACCAGCACGGACCCGTAATAGATCCATGGGAGAGACCAACGCGGCCCCGTAATAAATCCATGGGAGAGACCAACGCAGACCTGTAATAGATCCATGGGAGATACCAGCGCGGAACCGTAATAGATCCATGGGAGATACCAGTGCAGAGACCTCCAGCAGCAGCAGTATAGATGCCACTGTTCTGTGGCCCGTGGATGGAAAAATTCACACTATGAATAGGATGGGGTCACTAATTGACGGAATGATTTCCAATGTATTTGATAAAGCGTTGGTACATTTAATTTAAAAATCAATTTTAAAAATGGCTAAATTACTGAAATGAATGACTATCACTGTAATGTCTTGTCAACACCAGCATGCCAAAAAGTCGGCACTGAATGTGCTTAAGAGTGCTCCTGAGTATTCATAGGATTTGTTCTTACCTAAGAGAAATCCTGGGTAAGAGAAAAATTCATGAATGCCACAATCTAAGTAAAATCCTTGTAAGTAGGACTCATATTTGTTCTTAAGAACAGTTCGTGAATGAAGCAGATTGTGTCCAGATGTTAGAAACTCCCTCATGACAGAATCCAGATGTTAGAACCTCCCTCAGGACACATGTCTATGTGGTAAGGGACAAGGGACTTCACTTCTTGTGGCCTTCTGGGGTTGGATCAGAGAGAAGATTACAGTTGTAGTAATGGATCCAACCTCTAATCATGGCGTCAAGTGTTTTTACAGATTATGTAAATATAATGCAGCTGCATACAAATTGTGTTTTATTTTAGTGGTGAGAAATTAACTCGTTTAAGTCCCTCCCCTAATTAATATATTTTGTATTGAGAGGGAGAAGGGCGAACTCACCTTTGACACTCACTGGCGTGAAGCACCAGGTCCTGGTTGTTGCTGGCGCTCACAGTCAACTCATGCTCTGTGGGGTTAAAGATGTCCAGCAGTAGGTGACACTGGCGTGTGCTGAGAAGTAAAAGATAGATACACAACCTTAATAACTTCCCATGTTTATTGCCTTTTGCAAATAATGTACCTGCTTAACCTAAAGTAAATGGCGTAGCCATAATACAAAATGCGATACAGATACCCTTTTTATAAGGTAATGTAACTGAATGAGAAGGTAAAGTAGTAGGTGGAATATTAGCGTGGACATATTTTATGTACGGCGATAACTATACCAGTGTATAAATATATGAATATGCAAGATGTAAGCAAGGACATAGTGTGAGGTGCTCATCAGTCATTGTCTTGACATCAAAGATGGCCATGCTTTCATCCAGCACAGACTGAGCTGGAGGAGGCCCAGACCTGCTTTTCTCATGTACTGTAGATCACAGGACAGGTCGCAATTTGTGTTTTAGATCAAGGACCAGGAGGGCATGCAGAATTTTCAAAGACTTAATTTAACTACCCAACAGGCTGTTTAGCATCCCGGTAATGAATGATAAAAGCCCTGGATGCAGACATATATAGTAGCAACATCCAAGTGTTTATTTATGTGCAATGAGAAAATAAATCAACAATCCCAGATTTTAAAATGATTATTTTAGCCATAGTATTCTTAGTAGTTACTTCAAGGTGTTATGCAACTTCCTTGAGTTGGCATGACGATAAAACAGTCTAAACATTCTCCATGATGTGAAAGTTTACAGGTAAAGCAACATTTCCATGGATATAAGAAAAGTCAGGTTTGTGGTGAAACCCAATAATAATTAAAATAAATTTTAAAAGATCCAGAACAGTAGAATTCTTAGTTACCTATTGTAACTGTAGTTCTACGAATGGTGCGTAGCCACTTACGAGGCTATGCTATTGAATATGACTCCTAGAGGCCCCAGCCTCCCGCCAGAGAGAAATCAATGCTCCAATCACGGGCGAGCCCCCTCCATAAATAGCCCCGTGCAGCCTGCTGTCTTCACTTTGACCTCCGCCAAAGCCAGACTGGGCTGATGGGCTCGTAGCTAAGGAACTACGCACCATTCGTAGAACTGCAGTTTCAATAGGTAACTAAGAATTCTACTTCATGGTGCTCCGCCCCTTAGGAGGCTACGCTATTGAATAATAACGCGTAGGCCGTAGGAAAAATGTACTCCCATCAGACCAGCGTAGAGTGATTGGAGCCCTGCCCGAGATACCCCCAACACCTCCAAGGTGAGTGTCCTCAGGGCAGGAAGAAGGAATCCAACACAGTGTTAAAGGCCGCTCCTACCAAGGACGCCTGTAAAAACACTGACGAACCTCAAGGCAAGCATCACAGGGTTAAGGCCGCTCCTATCAAGGACGCCCAAGACCCCTGTCAAGCTTCCCCTGTGAATAAAGGCGGTCCGCACTCCCAGGACGCCTCTCCCAAGAGCTCCTGAAGGACCATATGCTGCCCACGAGGAAAAATTAGGGCAGACCAACCCCAGGACGCCTCTATCAAGAGCACCTGAATGGGACGGCCCTGACCCCACACATATATATAAAAGGCATATATATGTACATAAAACCCACACAGACCGTAGGTTGCCTCTCCCAAGAGCACCTCACGGTCCTAATCAGATTCCAGCGTTCAGAACGGAGTGGGCAACCGACCGTTTCGACATGCCAATCAGAAATAACTGAGCAAAAGTAGAAGACGAGGCATGAGGGGGCGGATAAAAAAGTCTGATCCTGATGACTCTAGACCTAAAGGTCGAGGAAACAACCTTGGGGAGAAAGGCTGGGTTGGGCCAAGCTCTACCAGACCATCCCCAGCTCCAAACGACAGACAGGCCTAATGAATGGAGAGTGCACACAAAACACCCGTCCTCTTGGTAGAAGCCAAAGCCATCAAAAAGGGCGGTCTTGAAGGCCACACAATCCGGGCTAGCCTGAGACACTGGCTCGAAAGGAGGCCCCGACAGGCCCCTCAGGACCATCTTCAGGTCCCAGACCGGAGGTGTCCTCCTGAGGACGGGCCTCTTTCTGCGGGCCCCCCCGAAGGAAGCGTTTGACCAACGGGTGGGACCGGGCCAAAAAGCTCCCGAACCCCCCGTGACCAGACGCAATGACTGACGCGAACACCGCCCAGGTGCCAGCAGCCCTGCTTTACTCCAAAGGTTCCTGAAGAAAACCCCAGAACTCCCTCCAGAGGGCAGGACATGGGGTCCCAAGAGCGTACCGCGCAGCAGGCATTGAAAACCTTCCACCTACAGCCATGGGCCCTGATAGTGGAAGGGGCACTCGCACCCTGAATGGTCTCCACCACCGACGAAGGGAGGCCCAGGTCTACGAGGTTCCGCCTCTCAGCCTCCAGACCCAGAGTCTGTGGCCCCGCACCGGGCGCAAGTGAAGCGTCCCTCCTCCCTGGACCAGAGCCCAAGGCTCGTCCGGGAGGGGCCACGGCCCCATCATCCATGCCTCTCAGGAACGGGAACCAGCGGTCATGCGGGCTGTCCGGAGTGACCAGAATCTCCTCCCGACCCTCCCGCTCGATCCTCCTCAACAGGATTGGTATGAGGCGAGTCGGGGAAAAACGCATATAAGAGGCCCCCCGGCACGAACCAGAGTGGGCATTGAGCGTTGTCTGCACTGGCAAAAAGATCGACCGCTGGATGACCGAATCTCAGCCAGACCTCTGCAGCAATCCGTGGGGCCAGGCCCCACTCCTCCCTGAGTGGGCCCCCTCTGGACATTAGGTCCGCCCCTGTGTTCCGGTCTCCCGGAACGTGGCGTGCTCTCAGAGACTGCAGATGCACCGTAGCCCAGAGCAGAATGATTGTTGCCAGGCAACGGAGGGAGGGGGACCACGTGCCCCCGTCTGTTCGGATACGCCACCACGGTGGTGTTGACCGAACGCACCCTCATATGCCTCCCCTCCAGCTGTAAAGCAAAGTGCAGCAGCATTCTGCGCACTGCCTCCATCTCCAGCAGATTCGAGATGGGCCATGCACCACAGCATGGCCCGCCGCCATCATCCCCAGGAGCGATCTGAGGCTCCGAACGGGCACTCTGGGAGCGCTCACGCCTCCCTGGCCAGGCGGGTGAAGTTTCCTTGCCTGTCCTTGGATAACGCAGCTCGGAACCCCACCGAGTCCAGCTGCAGACCGAGATAGACCAAGCGCAGGGCAGGCTGCAGCCTGCTCTTATCCCTGTTTACTACAAAGCCCAGACGTTGTATGTGTGACAGAAACCAGCGCGTTTGATCCGTGGCCATCTCCCTGGACGCGGCCAAAATTAACCAATCATCTATGGAGGTTAATATCCTGTCCCCTGCGCGTCTGAGCGGTCCAGGGCCGCCTCCACGCACTTGGAGAAGGTGCGCGGAGACAGCGCGTACCCGAACGGGAGGCGGCAAAACTCGTAACGTTTCCCTCCCACAGCGAAGGATCTGAGCGAGATCCTTCATAAATACGAGACTGCTCATCCTAATGCAGTGATTATTGTCGCTGGGGATTTTAACAAATGTAATTTAAAGACTGTACTCCCAAATTTCTACCAACATGTGACTCGAGCTACAAGAGGAGCACATGTTCTGGATCACTGCTACAGCAATGTGAAGGGAGCTTACAGGTCCAGTCTCAGACCTCCATTTGGAAAGTCCGATCACTCCTCTGTTCCCCTTCTTCCTTCATACACTCAGAGGAGCAAGGAACATAAACCAACCTCTCGCACTGTGCAGTGTTGGTCCGAGGAGGCTAGCATGAAGCTACAAGGTTGTTTTGATGCCACTGACTGGTCTGTGTTTCAATCAGAGGATGTTAATGAATTCTGTGACGCTGTGTCTGGATACATACGCTTCTGTATTGACTGCTGTGTCCCACAGAAGGTCATTAAAGTACATCTCAGTCAAAACCCTTGGATGAATGCGGAAGTGAAACAAAAACTTCATGAGCGTGCTCTGGCGTTTCAATCTAACGATACAGTTGCCTATAAGCTATCCTGTTATGCATTGAAACGTTCTATTAAATCTGCAAAGCGCAGTTATGGGGACAAGTTAAAGGGTTATTTTAAGGAAGATGACCCTCGGCGCATGTGGAGCGGTATTAAAGCCATCACGTCCTGGAAACCTAGTGCCGGGAAAATCGGATCTGTTGGCCCAGCTCTGCCTAATGAGCTGAACACGTTCTACTGCCGCTTCGAATCTGCCGATGCCTGTCCTACTGTCTTTCCTGATTGCCTCAATCAAGGTGCGTTCACCGTGACTCAGGAGGCAGTCCAGCGGGTCTTGTCCAGCACCATTGTCCGGAAAGCCCCTGGCCCGGACGGCATCCCTCCTCATGTTCTGAAACTGTGCTCTGAGCAACTTGCCCCTGTGCTAACAGACATCTTTAACCTGTCGCTAAGGAACTGTACTGTGCCGAACTGCTTTAAAGAGTCGACCATTATCCCAGTTCCTAAGAAAACTCCTGTGACATGCCTTAATGACTATCGCCCTGTGGCCCTCACTTCTGTCCTAATGAAGACTTTCGAGCGGCTTGTGCTGGACTTCATTAAGAGCCAGATCCCTGTGAGTGTTGACCCGCTCCAGTTTGCTTACAGACAGAACAGGAGTGTGGAGGATGCCATCTCCTTTGCTCTGAACTCTGTCTACAGTCACTTGGACAGTAGGAAATCTGTTGCAAGAATGCTGTTCATTGATTATAGCTCTGCTTTCAATTGTCTTGTCCCAGGTAAACTGATTGAAAAGCTCATGTCTCTGGGTTTAAGTGTTGCCATGTGTAAATGGATCTATAGCTTTTTAACTGACAGATCTCAGAGAGTGAAAATCAATGACTGTTTTTCAGATGTTGTTTCTGTGAGCACTGGATCTCCTCAGGGATGTATTTTGAGTCCTTTACTTTTTACACTGTACACTCATGATTGTGTGTCTTCCTCAGACTCTAACCTGATCATCAAATATGCTGATGACACCACCATCATCGGTCTCATCAGTAATAACGATGAATCCTCTTATAGAGCCGAGATCCAAAACGTGGTTCAGTGGAGTAAGGCTAACAACC